GTTTTTGCTCAGTCACATGTATAGAAGACACATCAATTCCTTCCGGTATCACATATATGCCCAGTGTACCGTCTCTGAGCAGTCACACCAGTAGAAGACAGATCAATACCTACTAGTATCATATATAAGTCCAGTATACTCAGCAGTTTCTGTGCAGTCACATGTATAGAAGACAGATCAATATCTACCTGTATCACATATATGCCCAGTATACCCTGTCTCTGTGCAGTCACACGTATAGAAGACAGATCAACACCTACCTGTATCACATATATGCCCAGTATACCCTGTCTCTGTGCAGTCACACGTATAGAAGACAGATCAATACCTACCTGTATCACATGTATGCCCAGTATACCAAGTCTCTGTGCAGTCACATGTATAAAAGACAGATCAATACCTACCTGTATCACATGTATGCCCAGTATACCCTGTCTCTGTGCAGTCACATGTATAGAAGACAGATCAATACCTACCTGTATCACATATATGCCCAGTATACCCAGTCTCTGTGCAGTCACATGTATAGAAGACAGATCAATACCTACCTGTATCACATATATGCCCAGTATACCCTGTCTCTGTGCAGTCACACGTATAGAAGACAGATCAATACCTACCTGTATCACATATATGCCCAGTATACCCTGTCTCTGTGCAGTCACACGTATAGAAGACAGATCAATACCTACCTGTATCACATGTATGCCCAGTATACCCTGTCTCTGTGCAGTCACATGTATAGAAGACAGATCAATACCTACCTGTATCACATATATGCCCAGTATACCCAGTCTCTGTGCAGTCACATGTATAGAAGACAGATCAATACCTACCTGTATCACATATATGCCCAGTATACCCTGTCTCTGTGCAGTCACACGTATAGAAGACAGATCAATACCTACCTGTATCACATGTATGCCCAGTATACCCTGTCTCTGTGCGGTCACATGTATAGAAGAAAAATGAATACCTACCTGTATCACATATATGCCCAGTATACCCAGTCTCTGTGCAGTCACATGTATATAAGACAGATCAACACATACCTGTATCACATGTGTGCCCAGTATACCCAGTCTCTGTGCAGTCACATGTATAGAAGACAGATCAACACCTACCTGTATCACATGTATGCCCAGTGTACCCAGTCTCTGTGCAGTCACACATATAGAAGACAGATCAATACCTACCTGTATCACATATATGCCCAGTATACCCAGTCTCTGTGCAGTCACACATATAGAAGGCAGATCAATACCTACCTGTATCACATATATGCCCAGTATACCCAGTCTTTGTGCAGTCACACATATAGAAGACAGATCAACACCTACATGTATCACATGTGTGCCCAGTGTACCCAGTCTCAGTGCAGTCACACATATAGAAGACAGATCAATACCTACCTGTATCACATATATGCCCAGTATACCCAGTCTCTGTGCAGTCACACATATATAAGACAGATCAACACCTACCTGTATCACATGTATGCCCGGTATATATAGCATGTCTCTGTGCAGTCACACGTATAGAAGACAGATCAATACCTACCTGTATCACATATATGCCCAGTATACCGTCTCTGTGCAGTCACACGTATAGAAGACAGATCAATACCTACCTGTATCACATATATGCCCAGTATACCCAGTTTCTGTGCAGTCACATGTATAGAAGACAGATCAATACCTACCTGTATCACATATATGCCCAGTGTACCGTCTCTGTGCAGTCACACGTATAGAAGACAGATCAATACCTACCTGTATCACATATATGCCAAGTATACCCAGTTTCTGTGCAGTCACATGTATAGAAGACAGATCAATATCTACCTGTATCACATATATGCCCAGTATACCCTGTCTCTGTGCAGTCACATGTATAGAAGACAGATCAACACCTACCTGTATCACATATATGCCCAGTATACCCTGTCTCTGTGCAGTCACATGTATAGAAAGAACAGATCAATACCTACCTGTATCACATATATGCCCAGTATACCCAGTGTCTGTGCAGTCACATGTATAGAAGACAGATCAATACCTACCTGTATCACATATATGCCCAGTATACCCAGTCTCTGTGCAGTCACATGTATAGAAGACAGATCAATACCTACCTGTATCACATATATGCCCAGTATACCCAGTTTCTGTGCAGTCACATGTATAGAAGACAAATCAATACCTACCTGTATCACATATATGCCCAGTATACCCAGTGTCTGTGCAGTCACATGTATAGAAGACAGATCAACACCTACCTGTATCACATATATGCCCAGTATACCCAGTCTCTGTGCAGTCACATGTATAGAAGACAAATCAATACCTACCTGTATCACATATATGTCCAGTATACCCAGTCTCTGTGCAGTCACATGTATAGAAGACAGATCAACACCTACCTGTATCACATGTATGCCCAGTGTACCCAGTCTCTGTGCAGTCACACGTATAGAAGACAGATCAATACCTACCTGTATCACATATATGCCCAGTATACCCACTCTGTGCGCAGTCCCGTATATAAAACACATA